GCATATGTAACTTCCAGAATGGATGAGAAAAAGTGGTTGCGTAACTAATTTCTAATTTTTTAATCTCAAGTCAGTGTATCTGAGACAAGAATAAAATGGAATTATCATCAGCACATGCAACTTAAAGCTTATACCTCCAGTAATGCCATCTCTGAAGCAGATTTTACATCACATCAGAGCCAAACATTGATAACTCAAGCCTCATGACGTTCAGGCAACATGCACAACTGAGTGCTAAGTTAACATCTTGTAGAAAAACCTACATAACGTAAAAAAAACAGTATAATGTCAAAAAAATAAAGTCACTTTTGAAGATATGTAATACTCGCGCCGACTGGCATTGTTGAGCAGCGTTGCCAGATAATCGAGACTGTCGGTAAGGTAGGGAGGAAATTTCTAGATCGCACCGTTATCGAATGGGTGGGGACCATGGATTAATTTGATTAATGTTTGACTGACCTGATCCATTTATCTTATTTTGTTATAAATGTTCATATCTAACCCTTTCTTCAGAGGGGTTTATTTGTTCCGAGCACAACCCTTTATAAAGTGATGACATTGTTGCTTGGGGAAAGCAGGATCCACCTACTTGACACCATTTTTCTCCTGAAAAAGGACTTGAGGAACGACTTTTCCATCAATATTAAAGACGTTTCTCAAGCGGGAGAGAGATTTAAAAATAAAAGCTTCTCTAAACAGTATGAAATTTTACACTCTCCTTGTGAAACTGAAAAAAAATTCTGTTTCAGTGCATGAAGAGAATTATAATTTATTCTTTGGCTTCCTTACTTTTCCTAGTAGGACCACACACTACTCTCTGCATATTTTCATGCACGTAATATATTCTTATTCTCTGTTTACAGCGGAAAGAATCCCTCAAAAATTCCACTCGGTGTAGCAGCACACCCTGCGGCGCAGTCTAATATACGTTCCAACGAGCTGCGTCGTCTGAAAAATGCTTACACAGCCATTTTCTCAGTACATAAATATAACTATGTCGGAAAATACATGACAGGTGAACACATAAAGAGCTTCTTCTGACAGCTGAAGTGTCACCTATACTTGTATACACCTCGTTTCTATAGCACTTTGTCAATGCGAACTGAGCTTAGTAAACTCATACATTCACGAGTAAGATACTCGCTTATAGCGTCATCGATGAGTTAGCAAGGCAATATGGTAACTGTGTGTACACTATGCAATCGAAAGCAATGTCGCAAGACACCAAAGGCACAACCTGCAGTGGGAAATTACCCGGTACACACACGGGTCGACAACTGAGCAGGAAGCAGGTATATACAGGGTGACTTCGAAGTTGAGTCATTTATTTTAACAGTGAGTAGATCTGATCAAAAGAAATGTTTTTTCCTTTAATATTTTTCAGGTAAAATTAAAGTAACAAAGTTATAGCCCTTTAGAAGTTTGAGTACCGCCCTCTCTCAATAATAATATTATGTGCTCGTGTTTGGCGACAACAGATATAATCCGCCTTATCGGTTCATCGCATCGGAAACAAAAAAGCGAAAGAATTTGAAACGCTTATCACGATGTGTTTAGTTGTATTCAGTCAATGTGTCAGTCGGTAACCCGTGAGTGAATAGTGGTGTTTGTTGCGTGGCTCAAACGAAATAAAAAATGGCACATGTTTACGAAAATGGTGAACTTGTGGACATGATTCTTATTTACGGGAGGGGGGGGAGTTTTTACAAAATGCTGCCGCGGCATCACGGATTTATGCGGATCGGTTTCCCAATCGAGTGCAACCAACCGCTCGTGGCTTTGTTAATGTAGTACAAAGGGCTCGTGAATCAGGTGACTTAAGACCTCACAGGGGAGGGCATGCCGGTGCTGCAAGACCGCACGATCAAATACAGGTCCGCACTGAAATACTTTTCGGGAGGATACTTTATAAAACAAGATAACATTTTTTTTTATTTTTACACACATATTTTGGTTTATCTTCCTTCTACAATCATTATCTGAAAATTAATGACTCAATTTCAAAGTCACCCTGTATAACTTTATTTTACAATTGATCAGGTATTTCAATATGGTCTACTTCAAAGTACTCGCCCTGAGACAACATGCACTTCTGCTAACGCCGTTTTCACTGTTGATACGATCGCTGAAAGTCTTCAAATGCGAGGCTCTTCATTTGCCGTGTCGTTTCTGCCTTGGTGGCTTCCACATCCCCCAAGTGCCGCTCCCGAAGCACCATTTTGCATTTTGGGAACAGGAAGAAGTCGCAAGCGGCTAAATCGGGTTAAGAAGGCAGGTGTCCTGTCACGGTGATTGAGCTTTGGGTCAACAACTCACGCGCAACGAGAGACGTGTGAGCGGGCGCGTTGTCGTGATCAAGGATCCACCTGCTCCTTGCATCAGATCCGGTCGAACTCGGGCTACACGAGCTCCTGGTGCTTCCTGGTGAATAATGCCCCGAGAATCAAAGAAAGCAATCAACATTGTTTTCACATGGGACCTTGATTTTTTCTGCTTGCTTCCACTCCATGCTTTGAGATTGCAGCTTCACATCGAATTCCAAGACTTGTCTACAAAGATCACCCGGTTGAGAAATTCCCCCCTTTCCTCTGCTTCCCACCAATCCTCACAGCAAGCAACACCCCCTTGCTTTCTTTTCTAGAGTCAAGAGCTTCGGAAAGATTTTCACGCACAATTTTTTCATTTCAAAATTTTCTGTCAGAATTTCGTGGACGATTGTTTTGGGGATTGACATTTCCTCAGCTATCATTCAAACTGTCAATCGACGGTCTTTAAAAACACAGCCCCGAATTCGTTCAACATTTCCCTCAAAGCTCGATGCGGCTGAGCGTCCTGAGCGTTGGTCATCTTTCATATCTTCTCGGTCTTCCCGAAACCTTTTCAACCACTTGTTGACCGTTGGTTCCTTCAGAGAATTGCCTAGTTTTGCAAGAAACTTGATATTGATGCGCTGTTCCTCGATCAGAGAGAGCTCCATGCAGATGGTAAAAAAAGGTTTACTTTCAACAACCAGACGTAAACCCTCCTTACTCGCAGACTGCTCCGGCTCTAACTGAGCATAGAGGGGATTGCATAGAGAGAGGAAACCACCGAGCCACTCCTTCACAACGCCTTGATATGATGTCCCGAATTTGTTATACGTATTTTCTGACCAAATCTATGAGAAAAGGTGCAATCCTGAGTATAGTATACGACTTGGAAGACACATCACTTTATTTGAGGCAGAAGTGTAGGCAGTCTTGCATTGCGCAAGAGTAAATAAAGAGCGAGCATATACGAGCCCCTTCCCGCTTCAGTTGGCCCAACTATTTAAATCTTAGTTTTTTTTCTTACCAAACACAAATAATAAAAATGTAGCAGGTTGTTATAGGTTTAAAATATTAACAATGAATACTTTGATAAAATATAGTAGAAAACACCAACTTTATCACTCCCTAATCAAATTTGCAGCATAAAAATAACACATGTTGCAATTACAGCATATCAACCTATTTTCATTTCAATGCAAAATAAGTCTGTTAAAAATAAAAGCCACGACAATTGTTTTTATTAATCACAGCTGTCAGAATACGTTTAAAATAGTTTTGGGTAGTTAAGGTTTTCAAAATGGGTAGAGGAAAGGTTATTAGTGAGAAAATTCGGTTACTGATAATTAATTTTTTTAATTCTGGGAAATCAAACTCAGAAATTGCAACTTTGTTAGACTTATCGCGGTACAGTGCGAGAAATATTGTTAGAAGATATAACGTAACTGGTTCAGTTAATATTAAGCCACGATATGTGAAAAAAAGTAATATCACAAATGCCGACCGAAGAGCATTAAGAAGAATAATCGTGAAAAACAGGCATGCCAATTATTTACAATTAAGTGCTCTGTGGAGTGACGCTGTTGGAAGGAGAATTTCGAGGTCCACAACTCATAGAGAGGCCCACAAACTGGGATTTAGCACTTGCAAGGTAAATTTTCTTATAAAAAAGTGAAGTAAAAGCCCTAAAGTTGCACAACTTGTTTATAGGCCAAAGAAAAGCCACTATTAACTCCATTGCAAAAGAAAAATCGGCTTAGATGGGCTAAAGAACATAGACAATGGACACCTCAACAATGGTGTGCAACACAATGGAGTGATGAGGCCCGATTCGAAGTTTGTGTTGGTGACAGTCGCAGTAGAGTTATACGCAAAAAAATGAAGCATTCCATGTTGACTGTCTGAAGAGAATAGTGAAATTTCCAGCATAAGCAGTTTATAAAGGCATATTTTGGTACAAATCTTGAAGTCTGCCAACTGAAGTGGGAAGGGGCTCGTAATAATAAAAGGATCGCCATAAACACTGAAGGTCAGGCGTCACAAGCGTTAAGAGGTCTACAGTGACATCTGCACTGATCTTGGATTGCCAACAGGGATTGCACAAACTTGCGGAACAGAACAAAGGAACTTTGATGTGGATGTCATGACATTCAGATAACGCAGGAAATGAAAGGGCTAATGAGTTCGCAGGGAAAGGATCGTCCACCCCTGTTACAGGCCTGTGCCTGCATTGGGGGTGCCAAAAAAGCACAATAAGGAACAAAGTCAAAAAATGGGTAAGAAGCCAGCACAAGGAATATTGGCAATTAGTGACTGGATGAAGGCATGGGAAAGAATTTATCTAGGGATCATGTCCAAATGCAGCTGCAGAACTACTCTCAGTGACTAGAAATCAACTTCGTGTAGTTACAGGACTTCTAACAGGACACAATGCCCGGATAGAACACCTGCCGCAAATTTTTCTTTGAACTCAAGAAAAAGAATTACCTATTCTTTCAATTCATAAAGGCGAGCCAACATGTTGCCTTTGGATAGCCAGCGTATGGAACAGAAGAACTTTGTGATCAGAATCGAGATCCTCGCAAAGTAAAGTAAATGACCGACTGTCCAATGTTTTGGAAACCAAAGATTACTGATGAAAAACACAATGTGTACTTACCATTGCGGCATTTTTTCCTTGAGCTTTTAAGCTGAGCCCGATCGTTCACTTATCATTGCGAGATGCCCCGTCTGTTCAAAGTCCAACGAGTTTCTTCCAATCCAAATCATTATTTTCAACAAAATTTGATATTGAATTGAATGTATCTTCAGATGTAGTACCTGCTGTCAAAGATTGGGAGTACAAAATCTCTTCTTGAATGATATCTCCGCCGATGTAACGAATATAAACTACTAACTGTGCACAATTAACGATGTCGGTGGATTCATCGCAACTAATGGCAAAAATGGCGATAATTTTACTTTATTAATTTGTGACTTTATGTCTGCTGCAATGTCATCGATTTTACGCTTGACTGTGTTATTCGAAAGAGGAATAGACTTCATTTTTTATCTGCGTCGCTTTTAGGACACATGGTTTTATTAATTCTTGACCGATAGTATGAGGTTTGTTTTGCTTTGCTATCATAAAAGATATTTCAAATAAAGCTTTGAGATGCTGCGATACACCTGTGTGATAATTTCCCGATTTATCCAGTCTCATCCCCTTGAGTGATTCTGCTTTAGAAGGAAAAAACTTTTTCGTCTTCAAAGCAAGAGTAGGATCTCTATTCGTCATTGTCCGTCAGAGCGGTCCGTGGGAACTTCACTCTTTGTTAAAGTATCGTAGGCCAGTAGTTCTGTCAGGTCTGGTTGTCCAGAAGGGTAGGGATGTTGTTGCTTCAAATGCCTTTCAAGGCGATTGGGCCTTATGCTATCATTACTTAAAACTTTCATACATATCACACACTGAGGCAATTGTAACTCATCTTTTTCTATGAAGGTAAATCCAAACTTAACGTAATCTTCGGAGACTTTCTTTTTTTGGCTGCCATTTTGCACCTATAACAGTAAAACAAATAAGTAATAAATAAATAAGCAAAATACCTACATGTAATTACTAATTATCTACCTATTGTTTTATCTTAATAACGTAATGTACGAGTATTCAACAGTACATTGGCCACCAGGATATATATATTTTTGTAGGCAGGTTGGCGTTATAATAGTAATTTTAAATACATTTGGAATCAGTATTAGGTACTTAAAGTTCGTCGTATCACAATTATTTCGCCACGTTGGTTTGATTGTGATGTGATAAAAAAGTGCCAATGGCCGTCTCTACTCAATTAACGGTTTAGTAAATTAAAGAAAAATGGTAACTGAAGTTTGTAAATATACAAACTTACCTTTTAATAGTGAGACACAATAATTTGAAATGCTCAAACAGATTTCTCAACAAAACATTTACATCGAAACGTCAAATTTTTCCCAAGTTTGTGGGAAGTGATGAATGTTAAGACGGCTCCGACGCAGTGAGTTTCAAGCCACTCTGTGAAAATTTCATCCAAAAATATCAAAAGATAAAGCGTCAATTTCGAAGCGCGCAAACCTCTACAAATCTTATTTTTGACGAATTTTGTCTACTGTTTTATGCTGCCAAACCAAGCGTTGCGGCCCAATGTACGGACTAAGAAAGAGGGCGTATTCAGATAATTTGGTGGCCTTATTTCATATAATATCGCGTAGATAAGTCGTTGTTCTGCAAATAGGTACTCACAATCGCGATCGCTGATACTCCTAAATTTTAAAGCCGTTTTACTTCCCACGTCAGTGAAGTGAGATGTTATGTCATATGACATCTAAATCACGAAAAACTGTATCACGCATCATCAACTTGGAAATTACCGCTCGGATTTTTATGAAATTTCCACACGCGGTTACTAGTATGCGAAAGCTTTGTAGTTTTAGTCCAGTGGCAACGGTGTTATAGGCAAAAAAGAAAAAGTAACAATTGCTGAATCTCCGTTTTTGACGTTTCAGGTGTTCCTAATCATTGACATAAAAAAATTGTACTGCTTAAAAAGGGGGGGTTGAAATTTGTGAAACACGTTCTATTACTAAGAAGCTTCTGATCCCAGTGATTACAGGAAATTTAAGTATCGAAAATCCGTCGAATAATGTGCTCATGATTTCAAAAAATCGGTACCTGCTCTATAGGTTTGACACCAACAGCCAACAGATCTGCAACTACCGGCAGTAGAGAAGAATAAATTCGGATATCACTCCAGTCAAGTATAGGGGAATTTAGCGTGGAACTTTAAAATTATCCATATGTCAAGGAAATATGTTTTTGAGAACGATCATTTGGTAGATTTTATACCTGCATTTTCATTTGAATTTCATAACCCGTGAAATGTACCCATTTCGCCGTTACCTTTTGTGTTCTGCAGTTTGTGATGTTTTTCTGGATATAAGCAGGCCATAGGTAATTGACTAGGGTGCTATCAGAGCTTTTCACAAAATTTTGTCTTTGCGCAAGAATTATGGTGGGTTGAAATGCTCACTATTTGTGCTCAAATTCTTGATATTTTAAAAAGATCCTAGAGGATAAAATCGAAAAAGTGGATCGTTGGCACCCCGTGGACTTTGTTTTTAGCACGCTGCAAGAGTTTCATTTGGAAATAATAAAAAGTAAGCTGTGAAGTGCAAATTGGTTTTTGGGCGAAATTCATCTACTGTTTCGTCCTGCCAGTCCAAGCGACGCGACGGTGCTTTCCGACTAAGAAAAAATGTATTCAAATAATTTTATATCTTCCCTGAAATAAATTCAAGAACTCAAATTCTAATTCGTGTATTCATGTCAATAAAGACAATTATGTTTACAAGGATCGTGTGGTAGATGGTAACAATTGAACGAGGGTCATAAAAATATCTTATGCCGTCAAAATAAGAGGAAACAGTTAGGTAGTTTTTGCAAAGCAATAAACAGGTAGGCTTTATCTGGATTAAGTACATGTCTTGTCTACTGTTATAGGTAGATAGAGGTGATGCTGCCAGAAATGGATGTGTGCGATCAATAAACAATCCACAAGATTGAACTGCCGTGTCCAATGATTTTTGTATTTCCTTTTTTTATTGCCTTACTAGAAAACTCAGTTGGGTACATGATGGAGTTTACTAGAACTTTACAGCTTGTTGTCTGCCTTCTTCTACAAACTTCACCAAATCGAGACGCTGTCAAACTTATCCTCCCATGAAGGCGCCACAAAGCACAGTTCTGTGATTTGGTGACTTGTTCGATATGCAAAATCTCGTCGTCACTTTTTCTAAGTTTCCCTAAAAATTCTTGCTTAGCAACCTCCAAATCAATATCGTTCAAGTCAGGTTTCTGACAGAATTCGCCATAAAACTATTATATATTTTCTTTGGAATTGTTATCCGAATTGTTAGTTATGTTCATATCAACTTTTTTTTGGTCTGAGTTTCTTTCCAAGATTCTTGCGTTTGAGTCTTTGTTCCATCTTAGTGATAAGCGAGGTTGGACTAAGATTAGAACGCAAATGTATTTGGACGACATAGAAAGGCCGCTCGGTATTGTGGCTCTCTACAGCTGCAGCACATCTTCCATGGTATGATCTCTTCTTGCAATAATTTATTCGCTTACCCCAATGTATTTTGCGATTATAGAGTTGAACCGCTCCACACTATTGTTGTCCTCATCATGAATTAAACTCACTGAATTCGTAATTAAAATTGTCGCATATGACCTTTTATTGTCCATTATCAACCTTGATAAAAAATTCACTCAAGAACAATCACACCAACAAGAGTTCAACACAACAATTCAACAACACAATATCGACGAACAGTAATATTGAATGATCACTAGCTGAATACCAAAATAGGAAACGATTTACAGGCTAGATCTCTAATCGAAATCCGACTCTGTTATTATAAAAATTTACCTCGGTAGGCACCCGCAGTCATCCTTTCCAATTTTAAAGTAGCGCCGACCACCGTCTAAGACCAGCCCACAATCGTTTCCTTTTCACCCCCCCGTTACCTCAACAGATGGTGCTCGTGATTATAGGAGCCCCGTTAAGCGGAGTGGGGGTGCGCGCGCATTTCATGTTGTGACTTGTCGAAACTTGTATAAACTGCGATTGACGACGCCGGGTTTTGAAACAGCGGTTGACAGAATAAGTGAATATGATATTTAATTTCTAATCTTGACACCTCTCTACGCCCCCCTTGGGAGGCGCGCCTCCCTGGCTGGGAACTCTTGCTCTAAATGGAGTTGGCATAATGGGAAAATTCGACTAGCATCACTTAGAGAACACATCCTCAATGTTTGGAGCAGACCCGTCGAAATCACTCATCCCATAAATATTGGCCTTATGCTGTATACCGACTAGGCTATAACTTTATTTGAAGCTCTTGTCATTTTAGCTAACTAGACAGGTTTTTTAACTCCGCTGAGTGGGTGATCTGAATTGCTTTGTCTTGTAATGGCAAACATTATTCAAAGAAGTGAAAACCGTGGATAATCGAGACGTATAAAAAATCGACTGGAGATAAAATATGAATGAAACATTCCATCTTTCTTCCAGCACATGCCTCAAATTGCCTTGCCAATCTCATTAAGGAAAAAAGTATTTTTCATTGGATTTTGAATTTGTCATATCCACTTTCTTTCGTGGAATTCGTTTCATCGTAAGGGATTTTTACATCTCAGTTACTCCGGTAAATTACATCCAAGGGGTGGTTTCTCATTTAATTTTCTTCCAATAAATTCTGTATCAAGTTAAATACTGGTTTCAAAGGACAGCTTGATGGAAAAATGGGTCGAAAACGTAAATAAAAACTGGCGTAAGGTGGTTGACTTTGCACTTCCCACAAGTTAGCCGCCCTCTTAGGGTCGATTTCACCAACATTAATATTATGGACCAATGGGAAAATACCTTATCGAAATGCAATTTGACAGAAGCTGTCAAAGGTCTCAGAATATCAGTGATTTATATTAAAATATTGAATAAAATCGTGAAAATTCGACTGTATTATAAACAAGACCACTTCTTGATTCCAACATGATGCTTTTGTACAGAGAAAACAGGTCAACTTGCATGTATTTTGATTTGTGTTATAAATTTACATTTAACAATCAGTTATCCCCAAAAGCCAATGGGAATGCGGCAAATAATAGGTCGATTTTCTAGCTGTTAAATTTGGGAGCAGATTTGGACGTTTGTTAATGCATGGCAATCTCGAATTTAAGTTCAACATACTGTTATCATTATATACCTGTTGAATAGTGTGGATTTGTCCGTATTTTGCAAGAAAATAGAATATAAAATACATTCCATCCAATTCCTCATCTTCCTTTACATCATAATAGTAATCATTTATTAATTTACGGATTAATGAATTTTTTCAAAGCAATAAAAACATTGTCCTCTCCATCCTAAATCACAGATAATATGTGTAAGACGTGTCAATCCCTACATCTCCGTGATGCATAATGCAATTACTATGGACATAGACAAAAAATTATGAAAAATGTCTCACAAATAACATCTTTTAAGTCCAAAAATCATAAAAACTATTAATGTTTATTGTTTGCTTGCCTTTTCACTGGTGGGGTTATCTATCTGTCATTCGCAGGGCTGCCAAGTCTAATGACGACCACGTCCCGTGGTGAAGGGTGCGACATGAATCTTTTACATTTGCTGGTTTTGAATTTAAAGTAGGAATGCAAACATATGATAGGAGCTAGA